CCTCCAGCCGCGCCGAGCCCCCTTCCGCCTCCGCCTCGCCCGCGCCCGCCTCCGCCTCCGCCTCCTCGCCCGCGTCCGCCTCCTCCTCCGCCTGCTCCTCGCCGCCACCCGCTTTCAATTCTTCCTCGATTTCGTCCAATTTTTCCTACAACGAATTTAAAATAACTTACGCTTTTATATATATACATAGTCGATGTCGCCCGCGACTCCGTCGTGGTAGGCTACTTATTAGGTTTTTATTTCTTAATTCCGCGCAGACGGAGTAACAGCGATGGCTCGGGCATAAAAATTAAAAGCTTAAATAGGTATGGAGCGATGACGTGATGTTGCATATCGACCTGCAGGCGCTGCAGCTGGTCGTGCAGGCGCTGAGGGCCGGCGCGCCGCTCCAGCTGCAGCAGGGCGGCGCGCTGGTCCGGCAGCTCGCGGCGCAGGCGAAGCGCCCCGCCCGCCGCCAGCTGGCCGCGCGCGCCCTCCGCCCAATGCTGCAGCCGCTCCAGCTGCACCTCGCACTGCGCCGCCTCGCGCGCCGCTGCCTCCAGCTCGCGGCTGCGCTCCTGCGCCTGCGCACACGATCGATTTAAAAGCAATTTATTTTGCTGAACAGATAGTAGATGGCGGAGATGAAGGCGTACGTACCTGGTCGCGCAGGAGGTGCCAGCGCTGGGTGACGGCGGCCACCTCGGCGCGGATCCAGTCGGGCATGATGTGGGCGCGCTCCAGCTGCCTTCCGATGTCTTGGATGCGCGCCAGCCGCTCGTCGCTGTGGTTCTGCACGTAGTTCTCCAGGTCCTGTCACACCATAGCCTCTTACTTTCGTTTGCCAATCGAAACAGGATCAAAGTACAAATAAGACGATGTAACCGCTGGGATAAGAGGGACTAACGTATAGTTGGTCGGAGATGTCCTCGGCGTCGGGGCGGTCGGGGCGATCGGGCGCGGGCTGCGGCCGCTGCAGGCGACGCTGAAGCCCGTCCAGCCAGGCCGCCTGCTGCGCCAGCCACGCGCGCAGCTCGCCCGACTCGTGCCACGCCTCCGCCAGCACCCTGCCGCCGCCGTCATCACAAAATAAACGCTCCTTTTCCAACAGCGATCTTTACATGTAAGCGATCGGCACTGACTTGTAGCGCTCGTAGACGGCGTGCGTGACGCGCGACCACAGCGCGCACAGCTGCGTCAGCCGGCGCGCCAGAGCCGCCGCGCGCCGCTCCGCCACCAGCAAGATCTCGTTGCCTGCGCACACACGCGCTCGCCTCAGTTACGACCGAACGACGGTAAATATATAAAACGAACGGCGAGGCTCGGCACCTTCCTCGTTGAGGGCGCGGAAGCGCTCGGTGCGCTCGTCGCACTGCTCCTTCAGAGTCTGGAAGCGTGTCTTCATCCGGTACAGCTCGGCCGAGTCGCGAATGGCGCACTCCGCCTCGGCCGGCATCTGCCGCTCCAGCTCCGCCAGGAACCGTTCCAGCTGCAACCGACGCCGCCGTTCAGCTCGGTGCGCTCGGGGCGCTCGGGGCGACGCCGGATGACACCTACCTCCTCGATGCCCTCGAACACACGCTCCGTGCGGGTGTGTGCGTCGCGCAGTCGCTGCAGCGCGGCGGGCAGGTCGCGGCGCAGCGCCTCCGCCTGCGAGCGCAGC